ACCATTCTAGTGTTTGGTTGGACTAATTTAAAATTTAGAATGGAATAAATTTCTAATTAAATTCTCCAAAATATTTCTCTTAGTAACAAATAAAATAAAATAAATTAAATTAACAAAATGATATTCTTTAATAATTTTTTTAAAATAAATGGTGGCAGTGGCGGTGGTGGATGGTGGAAAGCGGTAGTAGTGTAGGTGGTGGTGTTGGAAGGTGGCAGTGGTGGCAATGATGGAAATTGGTGGCAGTAATGGTGGAAGGTGGTAGTGGTGTTAATGGAAGGCGGTGGCAGTAGTGTGGTGGAAGGCAATGGAAATGGCGGTGGTGGTGGTGATGGAAGGTGGTGACGATGGTGATGGTGGTGGAACGTGGTGACGATGGTGGTGGTGGTAGAAGGCAGCGGCGGTGGTAGTAGTGGTAGCTGTGGCGGTGGTGGAAGGTGGTGATAGAAGGTGGTAGAAGGCGATAGCAGTGGTGGAAGGTGGTGAAAGGTAATGGCAATGGTGGTGGTGGTAGCGTGGTGAAAGGCGGCCGTGGTGGTTGGGGCAAAAGGTGGCAATAGCGGTGGTGAAAGGCAGTGGCGGTGGTGGTGGTGGAAAGTGGTGGGCAATGGTGAAAGTCGGTAGTGGTGGAAAGCAGTGGTAGTGGTGGTGGTGGTGAAAGGTGGAGATGATTGTGATGGAAGGTAATAGTAGTTTTTGGACTTAATATATGAGGGTGTTTTGGGAAGTTGATTTTTTAAAATAAATTACTTGGGAATTGAATGGCCATTCCATATGTTTAGCTGTGGTATGGATTTTCATTCCTAAGAATGGATTTTTATTCCAATGGAATGGCCATTCCCACTTTAAGTTGCATACCAAACAAAGGAATGGTTGGAATGGACATTCCATTCCATTCCATTCCTACACACCAAACGTAGTATAAGTTGAGGATTTTCAAAAGTTAAAGAAGGTCAGGTAAAGTGAAGTAATAATGCACAGGTTGTATGTGTATACTGTATATATAGAGCCAAACAGGATATTTTCTTCTACCCAAGTTTACAAGAAAAAAAAAAAAAAAGAAAAAAGAGAGAAAGAGAGAGAAAAAAAAAAAAAAAGGAAGAGAATTAAGAAATAGTACTTCATTCCCAAAATTTATACATAGAGAGAGGGGGTTGTGAATCAATCAATGATTTATTTTATTTTATCTTTTATTTTTGTTGTAATAATGAACATGAATTTCCACAATACTCTTGGAAATATCTGAGCTCTATACCATTCATTTTGAAAAAAGATGTCATATTTGTACTTGATCACAGACATTTGTAATCCAATAATTTAGTTTGATAATGTTTTTTTTTATATTTAATTTGATAAAATTAATGTCTTATAACAAAAGTAAAATTAGTACAAATTTTAAATTAATTTTTTTTCAATTTCAATTCTAAATCATCAATTCTATACAACTACACATAATGTTAGACTCTTTTCAAAGCATCGCATCAACGTGTACTTCAAGTAGTGGATGCAGAAGAATCATTAGTATATACCTCATCACTATTTTTTATTTGTTTTATATGTATATACGTTTGGATAATGAAAATTTATATATAGAGAGTGGGGGTTGTGGAATCAATTAAGGATTTATTTATTTTATTATATCTTTTATTTCTGTCGTAATAATGAACATGAACTTCCACAATATTCTTGAAAATATCTGAGCTCTCTATCATTCATTTTGAAAGAAGTTGTCATATATACTGGATCACAGGCATTTATAATTCAATAACTCAATTTGATCATGTTCATTTCTATATTCGGATAAAATTGGTAGCTTATAATAAGAGAGAAATTAGTTCAAATTTTAAATTAAATGTTCTCCAATTTTAATTCTAAATCATCAATTCTATGCAACTATGCATAATGTTAGACTTTTTTCAAAAGATCAAAATTTTATCAAACCATTTTAATTTGCTGCCTATAGCTGTTCGGGGACAAAGCCAATATTAGAGGATCTAGCTCCCTAATCGCGTGCCCGTTCTCGAGTCCTCCCGAAAAAATAAAATTCCTCTTTAATATTTGTAAATTGTGCTTAATTTGTTTATTGTAATTAAATCGAGTATGCAATATCATTATTAGTAGATTTTTTTTTTTTTAGCATATTTTTAATCGATTAAAACATCATTAATTGATGATAAAAAATAAAAAACAAGTTTTAGTGTTGTATCTCTATGTTTTGAAATATTAGTTTTTTTAAAAGATATGAGTTATTGTTTGATAACTCAATTTAGTACTTAATTATGAATAAATTAAGTATTTATCTAATTAAGTGTTTTTGTTAACACAATTTGAATATTATTAAAAATGGTAAGCTCCATTTAAAATATGGTAAAATTTTAGGTGCTACGAACATTACATATTACTGACTGCTAAACACTGAAAATTCAAAAAACTATCAAAAAATATTTGTTTTTTAAATACCACTTAAAATTCAGCTATTAAAATTTTTAGCATTTAATTTTCAGTTTTATCAAACAATATAGACTTTTAATATTTTTTAATTGTATTAACAGTAATTTACCCTTTCATGGGGTCCACAATGATGTCATTTTTAACAAATTAATTTGTTTTATTATTTTACCAAAAGTCTTGTGATGTGATGATATGTTCTGTACTTCCCAAAGTGAGTGTATTAGTAAAGTATATGTGTTTCTTGTCCATAATAAAAAATAAAAAGTAATAATAAAAAAATTGTTTTATCATTTTAAAGTAATAACGACAAATTATAAATGGTATAAAATATAATACATTAATTTTTGAAATAGGAAAATTGTTAGTCCTAAGTTACCTTAAGGAATGCTTGCCTTTTAATGTCTAAAAGCAATGCTTTAACCTCGGGTCAGTAATAATACATTGCAATGCTCAACCTCGGACATTGCTATGCTCAGCCTCGGACATTGAAGGTTCAACACTTCAATTAATAGTACATTACAATGCTTCAGCCTTGGACAGAGATGGTTCAGCACTTGGGTGTTAGCTACAGGTGCTCATAGGGGCTCTATGATCTTTTCTCAAGTGTATTCCATATATATATATATATACGTTTGCTCAGTATAGCCTTTTCCAGCTACGCTCAAGAATGTGACATGTTTTAGTGGTCCTAGAGAAGAATGTGACACGTCTCAGTGGTCCTAAAGAGCTGGTATTTGCAAGAACATTTCATTCCTTAAAGACTAAGTTTGGACAGAAATAGAAATTCAATACTTAAACTTGTAACCTACTATAACTGGTAGAATAGTGACAAAATCAGCTGAGGTGGCAGGCCTGCATTGGTCCATTGATTTGAAAATATCTGAAATATGCTCTCTCAATCATTGGCTAGAGGTGACAGGTGTATATCCGTGGTGTGTGAGGCCTTGTGTAATTCAGTGTCACTATAAATATGCTACTATAAGGCTCCTTAGGGTTTAAGCCTCTTGAATTTACATTTCACATTGAGCTGCTGCTGAGAACTCTCGAGTATAATATGTCAAGCAAGTTTTTCTCTACTATTTGATGATGATCTTTGCGAGAAAAACTCATTGAATCCACTCTGAGGTGTGTACTGATTGCTGAGATGAGGTTGCTGTCAAAGTTGCTGATGTAAGGACTGAATTGAGTAGTGACTTGGTGTTTCAAGCTACTATGGTCGATTATGAAGGTTGACACAAGTCTAATTCATTTTCTTGCACTTGTTCAAACTGTGTTTGTGTTGAGAATATGCTGAAAATAAATCTGGACAATGTGGTCACTAGTTAAGCTTATCTTTCTAAAGAAATCTTGGATTCAAGTGCTATTTGATTATACTTAGCTATTTCTTGATGATCTATGCTGCTAGCTAGTATATTTTGATGAATCGAGATTGTTAAAGTTGAGTTTGTAATAAGAATATGATATGCCTTAATTTTGAGTATTCTGTGCCGAAACTGTTATGTACTGAAGTTAATCTATGCTGAGGCTATTTTTTACCGAAGCTCACTGTGCTGAAGCTTTTTGTGGTGCAGTTGTTATATTCTGAACTAAGAACTTTAATTGAACTTTGTGATATACTCATGCTGTGTTTGATTATGCAAAGCTATGAACATAAGTACAACAGTGAAAGAAAACTGTATGAGGCGCTGGTGAATTAATCTCAAAAGGAATTTCCCATTTTACCCCTTAGACCGTGGATGCAATAGATTACAGTTCTGAGGCAGTAACTTGGAATTCTATGTTGTCCAGCCAATTCTAATTGTTGCAGAGACTTCTTGTATTTAGTGTGTTAACACTTATTGTAAATGGTAGTGAGGCATGATCCGTCACCCTATTGTTGGTTAAGCTGTTGAGAACTTATTGGGTCCAAGCGTGGTTGCTTCGGACAGAGGGAGTGCATGGATGCAATGTGGTGTTCTAGTGTGTGTGTATTGGTTGTGAAAACTAATGTCTATTCTGGTGCATGGGTGTGTGCAGAGAGTGAGACAGCTGAGTGTGTAACAAGATACATACAACTAGTGGATTGCTTATTGGCCAAAGCCAAAAACCAAGGTTTTCCCTAATTAAGAGGGTTTTCTAGTAAATTTTGTGATATCTATTCTTTGAATGCTTGCTCTGTATATGAGAAAGTTTTTGAAAGCAAACTTTTAACTAATTCACCCTCCTCTTGGTTCAACAATTGGTATCAGAGTTTTGGTTTGCATTGTGAAGTTCTAACAAGCCTGCAGTTGATCCCAACAATAGATGAAGGTCAAGTTATCAACAAAGCTCCAGGGTTTGAAGGTTCAACCTATGATTCTTAGAAAACTCGAATGGAAACCTTCTTAATGTCTCAGTCCTATGATGTTTGGCATGCTACCATACATGGTGTTGTGATTCTTAATCCTGATAACCCCTCTGTTGAAGATAAATTGGCTGTGGCTAGTGATGGCAAGGCCAAACATGTTCTCTTCTGTGCCTTGAGGCAATAAGAGTTTGCCAGAGTTAAAAATTGTAAAACAGCCAAGAAAATGTGGGATTCTCTTCAAGCAGCTCATGAGGGAAATAAGGTTATTAAGGAGAACAAGATACAACTATTCAAAGTTCAGTACAAGGTTTATAAGATAGAAGAAAGAGAAACTGTTGCGGAGTATATGTTCAGAATCAATGACCTTGTTAACAACATGAGAGCTCTTGGTAAAAGATATTAAGGATGTTGATGTTTGTAAGAAGATATTAAGGTCACTCACTTCTAGATTCAATCCTAAAGTGACAATTCTCGAAGACAAAGATCTTTCTGAAGTGAAAATTGATGAGCTTCAGGCCTCTCTTACTACCTATGAAATGAGAATTGGTGTTCCAGTTGTTCATAGAAGAGAAGCTGCACTTAAAGCAAAGGAAGTTGTTGAGAAAACTGAAAAAAAGTCTGAAGATGATCTTAAAGAAGATAAGATAGCCTACCTTACTAAGAAATTTAGAAAGTTCAAGTTTAAAAACAAGAATCAGCTACAAAATGTAACCTGTTATGGCTGTAGTAAATTTGGTCATGTTGTATCTAATTATCCGAACTCAAAGGGGCAAAGCCAGAAGAAGAATGAGGGAGGAAACTATAAAGGAAGGTTCGATAGAAAAGCACTCATCTCAGACTGGGATGCAGCTTCTGAAGAAGAAAAATCTGAGGAGACACAAGATGAATTTCTCTTTATGGCAATTCTTGAAGCACCACAAACTCTAGTTCAAGTTGAAGAAGATAATGACACTGAGATTGAGGAAATTCTTGAAGAGTGTGAAAGGCTTGCAGTGAAGTGTGATCAAGAGAAGGGTCAGATAAAAAGGCTCAGCTCAGAATTGTTAAAGTCCAAACAAATTCTCCCTAAACACTTCAAACTTAAACTGTCAATGTTGTGTTCAGTTTCTCTCATCTATCAAAGCTTATTGAAATCTCAAGTCAACACTCAGTGGTCTACCAAGAAGTATAAAGAAGAACTATCTCTCATTCTCGAAGAAAGATCCCTAAAGATGGCTGAGATCTGGAAGCAATCCACAAAGCAAATTGGCAAGACTGGAATTGGCTATGTGTGTGATTCAGCAACAAAGATCAATCAAACTCACTCTATATTTGTCAAAGCCACAACTGGTGAAGTGTATGCAAGGTTTCTTATCATAAAGCCTCAGAGGTTCAAGGGTGAGTTACTTAATAACACCTGTAGTACTCTAAGCTTCAACAAGAGAGACTTTGTTACACAGCTATAAGGAACTACAAAATAACTAGAATGTATGTCAAAAAGTTAGACTTAGCTTCAGCACAGAAGGTCAAGGATACATGATCATTGTTGAAGACTAAAATGATGTGCATTCCGAAGAAATTAAACTCTGTGAGCCTTCTAGTGTATATAGCTTTTAAAGCTAGTAACACTCAAGACAAATGGTATGTTGATAGTGGCTGCCCTAGACACATGACGGGTGATGAATCCAAATTTACTTCTCTGAAGTAGTTTGACGGGGGAAATGTTATCTTCAGAGACAATCAAAAGGCAAAAATCATTAGTATTGGAACTATAAACAAGTCTAAAGAGTTACCTGAGATTCATGAAGTTCTTCTTACTGAAGGGCTCAAACACAATCTTCTTAGTGTTAGCCAACTGTGTGACAATGGAAAAGAAGTATGTTTCAATAAAGAGAAGTGCAGTGTGGTTGATCTCAGATCCAATTCGATGTATAGATCCTCAGGAAATGTTTATACTGTTATTGAAGAAACTCAGAATACTCAATGCAATCTGATAACTTGTGATGAAGCTAAGCTATGGTACAAAAGATTAGGATATCTGCACTCAAGAAATTTGTCTAAACTCCTCAAACTAAAAGCTGTCAAAGGTCTGCCTGATATCAACTTCAAAAAAGATCATCTCTGTAGAGCTTGTTGTTGATTGATATTTTAAAGAAGTTATTCCAAATTCTTCTTTTTACACACATATTGCAATAGGGTTTGAGCAATACTGTGATGATAAAGGTATCAAGAAAGAGTTCTCAGCTGTTGCTACTCTTCAATAGAACGAGGCTGTAGAGAGGAAGAACGGGACAATTCAGGAAATGGGTAGAATAATGCTTTTAGAAAATGGTCTGGCAAAGAGTTTTTGGGCTGAAGCTGTGAGTACAACTGTGCACATCATAAATGTTCTTCTCAGACCTAATTCAACCAAAACTCCTTATGAATTTTTGTAAGGAAGACCTGTAACTGTTCACTACTTCAAGGTGTTCGGCAGTAAGTGTTATATACTGAACCACACTGACAGTTTGGGAAAGTTTGATTCAAAGGCTGATTAAGGCATATTCTTGGGATATTCTACAAAAAGCAAGGCTTATAGATGTTACAATCTCAGGTCTTCAAAGGTAGTTGAGTCAATCAATGTGAAATTTGATGAGAATCCTCAGTCAACACTTATTGAAGACAGTAACAACACATCTGGTTCAAATAAAGCCAGTACCTCAGTTCATGAACCTGAAAACGCAAGAGAAATAACCTATCCAGTGCTACAGTAGCAGGTTCAAGCTGAAAACATCATTGGCTCATCTCAAGCTGGGGTTCAAATAAGAAACAAAAAGAAGCTAAATGATTTAGAAGCTGAAGATGGTGAAGAATACAGTCACTTTGCTATACTATCATCCATTGAACCAATGTCCTATTTTGAAGCTCAGAAAAGTAAAGACTGGTTAGCTCCAATGCAAGAGGAACTTAATCAAATTCACAAGAATGATACCTGGACACTCGTTCCCAGACCTGAAGACAAGAATGTGATAGGTTCAAAGTGGATTTACAGAAACAAGATGAATGAGAAAGGATCAGTAATAAGAAATAAGGCAAGATTGGTGTGTAAAGGTTATGCTCAGCAAGCTGGAATTGATTATGATGAAACTTTTACTCTAGTTGCTAGAATGGAATCCATTAGAATGCTTTTATCTTTTGCTTGTCACAAACAAGTCAAGGTATATCAAATGGATGTTAAGTCAGCCTTCCTAAATGGAGACTTAAATGAAAAATTTACCTGGAACAGCTTGAAGGTTTTGAAGATTCGAAGTATCCTTCTCATATGTTTGAACTAAGTAAGGCTTTATATGGTCTCAAATGAGCCCCCAGAGCCTGGTATGAAAAACTACATCAGTTTTTAGTTGAACATGGATTTCACAGAGGCAAGGTTGATAATACTCTTTATGTAAAAACTCATCAAGAATAATTTCTAATTCTGCAAATCTATGTTGATGATATCATGTTTTATGGCTCGAACACCTCATTAGCTTTAGAATTTGCTAATCTCATGAAGACAAGGTTTGAAATGTCACTCTTGGGGACTCTCAGATACTTTCTAGGCCTGTAAATTACACAAACATCCTCTAGAATCTTCATCTCTTAGCAAAAGTATGCCTCAGAGCTACTTAAAAAGTTTAAAATGGATGATTGTAAGGCAGTCTCAACACCACTATGTCCTAATACCAAACTCTTATTGGAGTACACCACTGAAGCTGTTCCCTTAACTCTTTATAGGTTAATCATTGGTAGTTTTCTGTATCTTACTGCTTCAAGGCCTAATATAATGTATTTAGTGGGGTTAGTGGCTAGATTTCAAAGTAATCCAAAGGTTTCTCATCTTCAAGCTGGTAAAAGAATCCTCAGATATGTCAAGGGTACCATCTCATATGATCTATTATACATTTACTCACCCTCAATATCTATTGCAGCCTTCTCAGATGCTGATTGGGGTGGATCTTTACCAGATAGAAAAAGTACATCTGGTTATTGCTACACTCTGGGTTCAAATGTGGTCTTGTGGCTGAGTAAAAAGCAGGACACTGTCTCTCTTTCAACCTCTGAAGCTGAGTATATAGTTGCCTCACAAGCTGGTTCGTGATAACTTTGGATGAAAACTACTCTCTTAGATCTTGGCATTCAATTCTCAGGACCTCCCAAGCTTTTCTGTGATAATCAAAGTGCTATTGCTATCAATAAGAATCCCACACTACATTGGAATAGCAAACACATTAACATCAGGCATCACTTTCTCCAAGATAAAGTTCAAAAAAGGTCTGATTGCTATTACTTATTTGCCTACTGAAGATCAACTTGAAGACATCATGACCAAACCTCTTCTACCTCAGCGATTCTTAACCCTTCGAGCTCTTCTTAGGGTTGTTCCTCCTCTCTTCTGAACTTATATTGTTGGTGTTACTCACCTTTTGACCTTCAATGTCAAAAAGGGGGAGAAATGGACTGAAATAAGGATAGCTTCAAGCTATTCCTTTGCATTTGGGCTGTTCTACTTACTGAATCTTCATCTTCAAAGGTTATTTGGTTTTTGTCTTTAAAGGCAAAAGGGGGAGATTGTTAGTCCTAAGTTACCTTAAGGAATGTTTGCTTTTTAATGTCCAAAAGTAATGTTTCAACCTCGGGTAAGTAATAGTACATTGCAATGCTTAGCCTCGGACATTGCTTGCTCAGCCTCGGATATTGAAGCTTCAGCACTTCAGTTAATAGTACATTGCAATGCTTTAGCCTCGACAGAGATGCTTCAGCCTCGGATAGAGATGGTTCAGCACTTGGGTGTTAGCTATAGGTGCTCACAGGGGCTCTATGATCTTTTCTCACGTGTATTCCACACATATATATACGTTTACTCAGTATAGCCTTTTTCAGCTACGCTCAAGAATGTGACACGTTTCGGTGGTCCTAGAGAAAAATGTGACACGTCTTAGTGGTCCTAGAGAGCTGGTATATGTAAGAATATGTCATTCCTTAGAGGCTAAGTTTGGATAGAAATGGAAATTCAGTACTTAAACTTGTAACCTGCTGTAACTGGTAGAATAGTGACAAAATCAGCTAAGGTGGCAAGCCTGCATTGGTCCATTGCTTTGAAAATATCTAAAATATGCTCTCTCAATCATTGGTTAGAGGTGACAGGTGTATATCCATGTTGCGTGAGGCCTTATGTAATTCAGTGCCGCTATAACTATGCTGTTATAAGGCTCCTTAAGGTTTAAGCCTCTTGAATTTACATTGCACATTGAGCTGCTGTTGAGAACTCTCGAGTATACTATATGAAGCAAGTTTTTCTCTGCTATTTGATGATGATCTTTACGAGAAAAACTCATTGAATCCACTCTGAGGTGTGTATTGATTATTAAGATGAGGCTGATGTCAAAGTTGCCGATGAAGGGGCTGAATTGAGTAGTGACTTGGTGTTTCAAGCTGCTGTGGTCGATTTTGAAGGTTGACACAGGTATTTCATTTTCTTGCACTTGTTCAGACTGTGTTTGTGTTAAAAATATGCTGAAAATGAATCTGGACAGCGTGGTCACTAATTAAGCTTGTCTTTCTGAAAAAATCTTGGATTCAAGTGCTATTTGATTATACCTAGCTATTTCTTGATGATCTATGCTGCTAGCTAGTATATTTTGATGAATTGAGATTGTCAAAGTTGAGTTTGTAATAAGAATATGATATGTCTTGATTTTGAGTATTCTGTGCCGAAGCTGTTATGTACCAAAGTTAATCTGTGCTGAGGCTATTCTGTGCTAAAGCTCACTGTGCCGAAGCTTTTTGTGCTGCAACTGTTATATTCTAAACTAAGAACTTTAACTGAACTTTGTGATATATTCTGAAAGAAGACTGTATGATGTGCTGGTGAATTTATCTCAAAAGGAATTTCCTATTTTACCCCTCAGACCGTGGATGCAGCAGATTGCAGTTCCGAGCCAGTAACTTGGAATTTTGTGTTGTCTAGCTAATTCTACTAGTTGCAGAGATTTCTTGTATTTGGTGTGTTGACACTTATTGTAAATGGTAGTGAGGCATGATCCCTTACCCCATTGTTGGTTAAGCTATTGAGAGCTTATTGGGTCTAAGTGTGGTTGCTTCGGACAGGGGGAGTGCGTGGATGCAATGTGGTTTTCTAGTGTGTGTGTATTGGTTGTGAAAACTAGTGCCTATTTTGGTGCATGGGTGTGTGCAAAAAGTAAGACAGTTGAGTGTGTAACAAGATACATACAATTACTGGTTTGCTTATTGGCCGAAGCCAAGAATCAAAGTTTTCCCTAATTAAGAGGGTTTCCTTGTAAATTTTGTGATATCTGTTCTTTGAATGTTTGCTTTGTATGTGAGAAAGTTTTTGAAAGCAAAACGAAGTTTTAACGAATTCACCCCCCCTATCTGGGTTCAACAAAAATTATTGATTTTGAAAATAAGAAAATTATTGTGGGATAGTTAGTAAAAAAAAGAAGAAGAAAAACTACTAATATGGGACGGTGAGATCATATATTTGAAATCAATGTATTGAAGGATTGTATTGTATCTATATCATATGTTGTGTTTTCCTTGTAAATTGTAGAGAATCATCCAACAGAGGGTAGAGGATACTTATTTGGTAATTTGACAAGCTAGGTTGAAGATGATGATGATAATAATAATAATTATTTTTATTGTTAGTAAAAAAATTGGCAAGCTTTGTTAAATAAATAAATGTAAAAAAATAAAACAGACAAGTTTGTAGTTGAAGTACTTGTTTTGGGAAGGTAAAACTACTCCTTATATGAAGTCTCCACTCATAATCATGGAATAATTTTTAGTAAAGAATTTATTGATTATATATATATATATATATATATATATATATATATATATATTTGTATAAATAATTTAGCATATAGTTTATTTTAGGGTAAGCTGGGAAAAAAAATAGTGTCTTCTGTAAAACACGTCATGTAGGAAGACGACAATTATGGAAGGATCGATCTGAACCGTCGAATCACTCCATCCAACGTTCCTCCTCGCGAGACCGGAATTGTCGGTGTTAGCGGGAGCGGAGGATCGGGAACCGAGGAGAGCCCGACTAACGAGGAGAAGAAATTAATCGTCGACGCAGACCCATCACAAATAACCTTTTTCCTTAGCCCGGGCCCCAATTCTCTCTCTATCCATTTAAGTTGCACTTGAGTCAAACCACAAACAGGAACGACACATTATATATATAGCTATATACATATATGTATTCATATATATTGATATTCATACATATATATGAAATAAAATAAATCATCATCTTGGTGGTCAAGTACTCAAGTATTCATAAACAACGGTTGAGATTCTTTTATTTATAGTACGTACAATTGTGTAGAGCACAGCCACATGATCTCATTAATGACTGTACGAACTAGTGTCGACTACTTACAAAATTTTTAATGTGTATATTATGAGAATAATTGGGTCCCACATGAGATAAGAGAGAAAGGAAGTACGGCTGCAACTCGGGCGAGTCCAACCCAAAATAATCCGAACTCAGCCCGAAATTTTGTGAGCTTGGGCAATTATAGGTGCAAAATTTCAATAAACTAAAATACTTAAAAGAAAAAAATACAACTCACTCGAAGAAAATAATAAACAACAATAATTATTCAGAGAAAAACGTATATTGCTCAATAATCTTTAATGGAGGATTAAGCCTCTATTTATATACAAAATGGTGTGGAATTATGATAAGACTCGCCTTACTAGTCCTTCAATTCATTCCATATACATCATTCTTTACAAGTAGAGTTCTTGCCTTTTACAATTCTTTCCATATCAGACTTTCCCTACATAGAACTTTCCTTCTATGTTAGATCCTTTGATTAGCAGGACTAGTTCCTTCTTTAAATGAATTTGGGCCGAATGTAACTTGGTCCAAATGACTTTGCTAATGGGCCGAAAGTTCAACATTAGCGACCTTGAGCGGTTGGCGTCTTTATCCGGGCTTGAACAGGGCTGGGCTTTTGTAACTCATCAAGAGATTAAAAATAAAACTCCTATTGTGGCTACATGGATGACTTTTATTGGAGGGGAATTTTTCCCTCCACACTTTGCTCCTAATTCCCTCTTTAATTGGACTACGGTTCCTAATTAAAAGGAAATTGAAGTTACATAGTTGCCAATTTTACAAAAGGTGGTTCGAGGAGTGCCTATTGCGATTCTGGCCAAAGAGTTTCCTCAAAACTTGCTTTTGCCCTTGTTGCGTTCATTGCACTCACTGCGTTTCTTGCTTCGTCGTAACTCCAAGTTAGTTCTTCACCAATTTCTTTGATTTCATACCATGAGCGCCTCACCTATTCACGATCCTATAGAGATCGTAGACTTTGAGTCTACACCCTCGTTTTCCCCTAGTCTTATTAAGGTTCCATAAGTGCAAGCAAGATATCATAACAATCACAAAATCAGGATGATGTGGACCACAAGTGCAAGCAAGATATCAATCTTTCGAAAAATTTACTCCTAAATGGCATCCACAAGGCATACAAGGAGTATTGGACTCTCAAGTCAAGTAATTTTTAAATTTTAAGCAATATAGTCCTCAAAAAATCAAAATCATCGCTAACATCAATCTCATACCTCAATCATGCATTTGAAGCTCAACTTTATGTAGAATGCAACCAAGATACCTTACCCCCAAACTTAAACCACACATTATCCTCAATGTGTAATGAGAACAATGGAAAAGATGGAAATAATATACAGTGGTGGAAAATACATGAAGCTCGGCAATGATCCAATATGAAAAGGGTCTCCCCCAAACTTAGAATCAACAACCTATTTGAATAACCACACTAGCAAACTCAAATCAAATATCAAATGGGATAAGATAAGTAAACCAAACATTCTAAGACAATATAGCACAAGATGGATGAGAGATATGAGATCAAGCCCTAACTAAAGCATAAGGTATGCATGATTATACATAAGGGCACAATGGTGAATTTTTTTTATATTTTTCTTTTTATGAAAGCAAGTATATACAAAATGCAAGAAAACTAAAGAATAAAATGCATGAATAAAATACAAAAAGAAAAATAAAAAAAACAAAATGTAATGAAAGAATATGTACAATGCAAGAAATGAAAAACAAAAAGTAAGAAAGGATGCAAGAACAAAAAAAAAAATGAAAATAAAAATAAAAACTCTTTTTTTTTTTATTCATTTTTTTTATGACATAACAAGTATGTATACTCACACACAATAAAATGCAAAGAAATAAAAATGCAATAAATGAAAATGCAATGAAATAAAGAATGCAATTTTTTTTTTATTTTCTTATTTTTTTTATGAAAGTATGTACAATGAAACAAAATGCACGAAAAATGCACAATGATTGTTAAGTTTAACATCTCTAACAAGACGGAATGCCACTTTAAAAGATTATGGTTTTTTTTTTAAATTATTTTTTATAGACAAAACAAGTATATACACAAATAAAAATAAAAAAGGCAAGTAAATAAAAATGCAAGAAGTAAACATGCAATGAAATAAATAATGCAAAAAGAGAAATTTTATTTTTATTTATTTTTTTCACAAGAGAAAAGTAAGTAAATAAAATAAAAGAAAATAACAAAAGTAAAAGAAAATGAAAAATAAAATAAAATAAAAATAGAAGGAAGAAAATGTTAAAAAGTCAAAGGGTCATTTCAAAAAGGCATGTCTCAAGAGGGTCATTGGAGATAATAGAAGGAAGGCCCTCTTCAACAAGTTCCTCCTTCTCCTCTCCTACCTCTTTAGTGGTCAACATCTCCTCACTCTCTAAAGTAGCAATGGTGGAGATAAAATCATAATCAAAGCAAGGAAAATCCTTATTAATCATATTATGCTCTATTGGATTAGCCACTAACTCATTTGCCACGTCCTCCTCTATACAAGATAGAGTACTAGGCATTAGCTCACTTGCTACTTCTTCCTCTTCACTCTCATCATCCTCATCTATATAAATTGGAGTTTTTGCCATTTTTTTATTTGCCTCTTCCTCCTCTTCTTGACGAGAAAGAGTACTTGTAATTTGCTTAACTTGAGCTTCAAGCTTGGCTAAAATTTAAGAATGTGAATTAATAAGTGGAGTTTGCAAAATATGCACATCAAGTAAAGCTAATACTTTTTCTTCAAATCCGGGTGAGTACCTAGAAGGTGATGGAGTTGTTTCATCATAAAATGGTGGGGGAGGGTAATAGTCATAAGAAGGACTAGAAGAGTGATTAAGTCCATGATAAAATGATGCATGTTGAAATGAATTGGACTCAACCTCATAAGGATCAAAATATGGTGGAGGGACATATGGTGAAGGGATGTAATTTCCCTCCAAACTTAGATCAAACAATTCCTCCATTCACAATTAAAATCCAAATGCAAGAAAATATTAGCCTCCACATGGGCCGATGCTTGGACAAAGATTTAAGCAATAAAATGAGCCTCAACAAGGGCT